TACTTCAAATAGAAGGATCAAATATTGCTAATTTTCCTGAAATAAATAACAGGAATGAGAAACAGATAATGAAGAATAAATTCAAAAAAGATATGTCAATAGGTATGCGACAATATGAACGACTAAATGTAAAACAAAAAGAAATTGTTGATACTATCTTAACAGCAGCAGTAATGATTATAGTACTTATTTTTATATTGATGGTCCAGGTGGTTTTGGTAAAACTTTTACTTATACAACTCTGTATTATTTATTTAAAAGTAGAGAAAAAGTAGTAAGTATAGCATTTACTGGCATTGCTGTCACATTACTTCCAAATAAAAGAACTGTACATAAAGTTTTTGAACCTGTTTTTAACAATTCTACATCAAACTGTAAAATTCAATCTAAAGAAGCTGATAAATTAAAATTCGTAGATGTTTTCATTATGGATGAAGCTCCTGTGGCACCACATTACGTATTAGAAATAATGGATAAAACATTACGCGATATAATGCACATATATATAATGCGCATATATATAATGCGCATAACATATATATAATGCGCATAACATGATTTATATTTTGGTGGAAAAATCTTGGTGGATTTTAGACAATTATTATCTATTAAAGAGGGAGCTACGCGTTGTGAAATTATAAATTTATCTATAAAATTTAGTACTTTATGGAAACAATTTAAAATATTTTCATTAACGGAAAATATAAAAGCTTTACCAGAAGAAAGAGAATTTGCACAATTTTTACTAAATTTAGGTAACGGTACTTTAAATGACTAATCAAATAATTTTTAAAGTCCAAAAAGATGTATTGTAAGTGTTAATTTAGATATAATAAAGGAAATATATGGGAACATTATAACACATAAAGATATAAAGCTATTGCTAATTACGTTATATTATCTGCAAGAAATATCGATGTTGACGAAATAAACGAAAAATTAGTAAATTTGTTGGACAAAACAACAAAAAGAATTTATACAAGTGTAGATACTCTTGAAAAGACTAAGATGAGGAAATACATGAAATAATTATGACAGAATATCTCATTCTTTAAACCCAACGTGCCTTCCATCACATGAATTACATTTGAGAAGATATACTGTCGTTATATTTATTAGAAATCTTAATATCAGTGAAGGTTCATGTAATGGTTTTGTTAACCAGATTGTTAATTTTAGGGAAGAGGTGAATTTAGCTTTGAGCTACGTTGCAAGATCATTGAATTAACGACACGTAATTCGCGATAAATATTGTCTTGAAATTCAGAAAAATAAAAATTATTTGATATGAAGATCCAGTCTGCCGATGGAAGCCGTCTATTGTCTATTTATTAATTTTAGATTTGAATAATAATTTATTACGATGTGAAATTTTGACAAGTAACAAAATTGAAGAAATTGTTTTTTTTTTAATCGTATCACTTTGTATTGTAAAAATATATACCCATTTACTTTACAAAAAAGACAGTTTCCAATTAAATTAGCATTTATTAACTATTAATAAATCACGAACTTTCGAAAAAATTGCAGTGGATCTTCGTAAAGATATTTTTAGACATGGACAATTGTATGTTGCATTATCACGAGTATGTTCTTGGGATTTGTTAAAAGTTTATTTAAGAAATGATAATCTACTTAATCAAGTAAAAAAATTATGTTTATAAAGAAGTACTTGAATGATAAGAGAACAGGGAGTTTGTACTTAAAAAAAAATTGAGATATATTATAATATATTATATTTTTATTTACTTTTATTATATGTAATAAAATAGAATGTAACAAAGCACAAATTAAGTAATACATGTATATATGTGACTTAAAGTCAATAGACTAAAAAAATAGAATAAAAATGAAACAATTCGAAATAAACATTAGCAAATGAAATACTTAAAATATGCATGAATGAAGTGCAAATAATATACTTTTTTAATAAGATTGAAGTATATGGTAACAAAATTCGAAATGTTGGTAATTATACACACATACGCATTTATTTTGTTT